TAACTCACATTAGAGGCAGAATCTCACTTCACTGGGGCAGGAGACCAAGATGTCTTTTAACGAGCAAGAGCTGCTTCTTTAACGGTCTCTTAGTACATGTAGGCACTGAATCAAATCACCTTAATACAAGTACCTGAACATGGCAGGGACAGTAATGTGTTTTAGCACCTTGCACCAAGAACACCCAATTTTACATGCATTAACAATTTATGCCGAGGAGCTTTGGAAGGAAGGGAAGGAGGGAGAGGCTCTTAAATTCACACGATCAGGCTCCATAGTTACCGTGTCTGAACAAGCCGTGTTGCTTTAACACAATACATGCCAGTTTTACCATGCTGGGGCAGGGGGGAAACAAAGTTTAAAAAAAAAAAATTTAAGATGCTGAAAAGATTTCAAATTTAGGACCTCTTGACTAGAGGAAGCTGCACATTAAATGAGACAATTCCTTAAGCTTACAATCACTCCTTTGCTTTTTAGGTGACACTTTAATCATCTGACCTCTGGATGGCAAAAGTTACATGAGATGCTCTAGTTAAACTAGATGGCAAGAGCTGAAGTTTTCTTCAGATTTCCCCCCCTCTTTCCATAGGGCTCCCACACAGGTCTATAAGACTGGCTTTAGCACAGCTAAGGAAAGCAAGAGTTGCCAGGTTGGGTAAAGCTGCCAGCACTCCCTGCCCTGGGAGCTTGCTCCCCCAGTATGTCACCAGCACACAGCACTGGATAATGAGTCGTCTCAGCTGGTTAATTAAGAAGAGCAAAGTCCCTGCCGGACAAGAACCTCTGCAGGTGTGGAGACAGCAAAAGAATCTTAACAGAGTAAAATATTTTGGGAACCTGTGAGCTTGTGTTTTCAGCAGCCTGTCCAGGGCTCAGGGCACCTTCCTGGGATTCTGACAAAAATAGAGAAGTGCAAGATTTTAATTTTTCAGCGGAGGGCTGTGTACGGCACACAGGCCACCTGCGGTGAGACATGCAAGCAGCAGGCTGATGCTTCTACTGTTCCTTGGGGCTGTACCAGGTAAAGCCATCAAGAGACTGAATTTCAGCAAATCAATAAATTAAAGGCCAGGATGTCAAAGACAAAATTGTGAAAAAAAGAGAACTGTAGGGATATTAAATACAAAGATACCACCTCCGGCTTTGGAAACCTCTGAGCCACAGCTTGCGGGGAAGGCTGTACCGAGGGAAATATTCTTGCACGTCTCCTGCAGCAGCTGCTGTGAGCTGCAGGGGCGGCCAGGGGAAGCCATACCCCCAAAAGGCTGCGGAGGAACATACTGAGCTAATTATGAAGAGCAGCAAATACGAATGGCTGGTGAAGCTGGCCACCACGACTGGCAGATGTCTCAAGAAAAAAGCAACAACTGGAAAAGTATAGGGAAAACCATTGCAGGACATACAGTCCTTCAGAAGACAGCCCCAAGATGACAGGGACAACCCTACCCAGTGGGACTGGAAAGCAGCCACGCTGAGATTGACACCTGCTCGGTCACCTCGTCTTGCAGGAACCAACATGGGGATAGAGCTGCCACTTAAATCCAGACTACTTTGTGACAGCCTGTCATCCAGGTCATAAAAAGCAAAAGGCAGCATCCTGTTTGCCTGGCAGTATTAGTCCCACGGAGAGCACCGCATTGTGTTGTCCCAACAATGTAGTTGTAGGTCACCTGCATTGCAAGTAATGAGAGTGGAACCAGAGATGGAGACAACTCTTTCTTCAGAGAACGTTTGGCCTTTATTAACAGAGCCAACTGTCCCCCCCTGCAGTGCCCATCTGGGGTTAGAAAGAGGCAGGACAAATTTCAGAAGAGCAATTGCAGCCAGCAGCCTCGCCAGGGCTGGGGGGCACACATTTTTCTGCCTATGCCCAGAAGTGTTGGTCTCCTCAACCCCCTGCAAGCCTAGAGCTCAGACCTGCTGCACCCTGGCCACGACAGCTCTCATCCTTAGCAGTTCAAATTCTTGCCCAGCACCATCTTTGACAACGGACCACCAATTTCACCACCAGATGTCGGGGTAAGGCTTGCCCTGCTGGTGCCCATTCATACCAGCCCAAGCTGACTCTGGGTCCTGACAAGTCAGCCCATCACCTTTACACCCAACGCATTAACAGCTACCGGGTGGCAGACATGTCACTGGCAATCCACACTCATTTTAACATTTTGTGACCCAGACAAGAAGAGCTCCAGTTCTTCTGATCCATGCAAGCATCCCTGCTTGAGTTTTAATTGGGATATTACGGGTTAACATGGAATAAAGTTGTTCAAACAGCATCCAGGTGAATACCTCCAAAGGGGCAAACACCTTTTCATGTCTGCACAGCAAGGCCAACCAAAAAGACTACTTGTCCATGAGCAATGCTCCCCATGGGCATTACGTTACGGACCATCTGGCCCCCAGGAGAGTACGTCTGCTGGGCAGGACAGCAGTTCCACGGAGAGGAGTTTGGGTGCCCAGGGTGACTGATGGACACCCTGAGGTCAGCTCGGGGGTATTAATCTGCTTCTTTGCTCAAACCTAAACTCCCACTGGTTGGTTGAGCAGGACAAGAAAATGCTTCTAAGTGGCACGCTGTACCTGAGCTGCTTGCTGTCTTCCTGCCCACCTGCAGTGGAGTGATCCTGCCCGTTATCCGCATGGATCACTTGCTCAAGCCTTACAAAGGGAAGGAACGTCCAGGGAGAAAGCCACAGAGGAGCTGGGTAGATTTTTCCCAGGGTGAGGGGCAGAGGTAAAAACAACAGGTTTGCTCTTGCTGATGGAAACACCTCATTTGGCTTTTACCTGTTACTCATGCTAAAACACTGAGGGAGTGTTTGCCCGTCATTAGTAACAGAGTATAAAGGTTGCAAAAACAGGAGATTTGGATGGGTTTCAACAACAAGGGAACTGGTCAGCAAAAGCCGCCAGCTTTCCAAAGGTATGTCTTTCTTCTCAGAGACCCATCACCAGCGCAGACCAAGCAGGTCCAAAGCTTCATCATTTCCCCAAGTTTTCACCCATGCCACAAGACACGGATTCATGGCTTGCCACTGGCACCTACCAAATACACCAAGAGAGCTGTCCCTGTGGCAAGAGCCGTACTGAAATTTAACCCCCACAACCTCGTGACGTGGTAAAACCACCAAAATGACAGCTTTGCCCTCTTGGCTGGGTTGGAAAGACGTGTCTGGCCCTGGCAGGCAGCAGGTCCTTCCATTGTGCTGCGGTGAGCCGGGAATACCAAAACTTCAAAAGCAACTTCTGAGCTGCTCCACTCACCCATCCTAGAAAAGCCTTAATATTGGCACAACAGCCAAGACATGATTTTGTATTTCAAGTTCTAATTCTTCAGCCCCATTGCAGCTGTTATAAATTTAATCAAGACTAAAACAAAAGCGCAGCATCATTTGGCAGAGCTCAAAAAGCAGTCACTGGAAATAACTACATCAAGGCCAATACGTTAAAGTGCATCCTTTCAAGCTTTGTTCAGCAGAGTAACATTTGTTATTGAGAAGAAAAGTCACTGCTTTTGATTTCAGCTGCCCTACGCAAAGGCTGTCCTGGAAACTGGAAGGAGGCTGTGGCAGAAGGGAGGTTAAACACAGGTTTAGCAAGGAACAGTTTCACAGGTCGAAGTTTGGAGTGGCATTTTCAACTTCAAACTGAGATGGGAATAACTAAGCACAGATTTTAGCCTGTTATCTGCACGCAACAAAGACATTGAGAGTTGTAGTCCAAAAACCTCATCAGGCTTCTCCTGATGGAGAGCAAGTGGCAGGTAAGCCACAAGCTGGCAACCCTGGCACTCAGCTCCATGGGGCAGGCACACCAGCCAGCAGAAAGCAAGCAGGCAGCATCTCTCAGAGGCAGCATCTAATATTTCATCAGACAAAACCTCCAGGTCTCCAATTACGCAACAATTAAGTGCTCAGGAGGCTGTAAAGTGTGACAGTCTGGGTGTCAAGAGCACAAATTCATTTTTCCCTGTAAGCAGCATTTGGGGTGCTCTCCCCCCATACCACCCCCCTCCCCCAGCATTCTCCTTCCATCGCACAACTGCTCAGCTTACCCAAGCAAACAAATTTCAATGTCTTATTACTGTATCAGTTGTTGTAACCAAATACGCACGTTAACAGGGCATTTGCTGCTTATATGCCAGCCAGCTCACAGCATCCTTCACTGCCTTACCTAGAGGCAGTGAACGTATGTATCTACAAGCTCTTGCAGAAATCAGGTATCTCTCTTTCAAATCTGGTGGGGAAAAGCCGAACACTCCCCTATGCTCCTCTGCATAACCCTCCCACATGTCCCTCTGCAAACACACACAGTTTTGATGCATATTTAATTGCCTTCTTGTACAACAGGGAAAGAACGGAGACTAGCTGTTGGGATTTTAGCTAGCAGCTAAAATTAAATTTCTTTTCACGGTAGAGAGAGATCCTGGGACTGGACCCATTGCCTCTTTTTCCCATAACTATGTTATCTCACAGCAGAGCAGCTCTCTTCTTTCAGGATCCCCAGTCATTTAATGAAGACCCCCTCCATGTTACTCCCCATCTAAGAACAAGACGAGGCTCAGTGAAGTTGTTCAGCTTTCTGCAGGCACAGACTGAAAACACACATCAATACATGTTGCTCCTTGATGTGTGTCCAGTCCTTCAGGAACCAAACTACTAATATTCACAGATTAGGTCTGTTTTGCAAAGCTATTCCAAGATTACTGAGAGGTGGACCCTCACTTATCACTTAGCTGCAATTTATTTTTATGTTCTTCTTTGTGAAATAGCCCCAAACCTGGTGGATCTTGCTAAGCCAACTTGCACACCAGTAGCACGTTCGTTCTAAGAACATCTCAGCCAAAGAAACAACAAAACCTTTTCTGATGCTTAGACCATATCAGCGTCAGACCCAGTAAACTGAAGAATGTGTAAACAGTTAGATGTTACTATCAGGAAAAATGGTAATACTGACAAAAGTTCAATCAAGAAATGTGAAATATGAGCGTACAGACTTACCATTTTTGTCAGCTCTTCTGAAAATCTGGAATTGAAAGAGAGAGAAACATTTTTACCATGTTGTTCCACTTGAAAGGGTGAAGCCCTTAGCACCAGGACCATGTTCAATCCCATGCACAGGGCAGGACCACACTCTCCAGCACCCCAAGAGCCAATTCAGGTGCTTTACTGAGCTCACTCTTCCCAAGACTCTGCCTACCTCTCCCAGACCCACACAATGGACAACCACCGCCAGGTAGAGTATCAACGTCGTTGCCTTTGGAATAACTGCTGGAAAAGGAGCTAGCTAGCAAAATAAAGGTAACACAAAATGCTTCCAACAGTTCTAGCATCTCCCATCTCCCTCACAGAAGAAAGCCAGCAACAGAGATCCAACGCAAGAAAAATACCCATTAAAAAAAATTACAACAGCCATGCAACCAGCCCAGCCAATTTCTCTAGCATCAATAATATCTCTTAAACCAAGTTTCACAGTTCTGTACTTCTGAAACAAATTATTTACAATATTTTTTTTTTAAAAACCAAGTTTCCTGTGTGGGAAGGAGATTATATTTAGACTTAAAACTACAATGCGGAGGAACAGCCCACAGAGAGGAATCAGATAGCCCTTTCAGAAGAAAAAAAATTGCAGCAATGTGTAGTACAGTAGAATTTGCCAGGGAGAAAGACAGGAGAAACAACTGCTGTTTTTCTGACTAGTCTCAGCTTACAGGTAGTCCCCTGACACAATGCAATTAATAGCAGAAGGCTTCTGTAGGAGTTGAAATCTTAGAGGTTCCTGCCAAAAATGGCTGCTAGCACAGGTTTGGCCATAAATTACCAAAAATTAACACGTTCATAAACTGGGCAGAAAAGGGATAACATTCTCACCATCTCTTCAAACCTGACCCTATTACTTTGTGCAAGAGCAGGGACTTGGGCTGTACAAAGAAATTTCCTTGCAGAGGGAATAAAAGCGCCAGTAGGACAGATCAGAGTCAGCTGTAAAATGGAACCTCTTATTTTCTGGGTCACAAAATCATTACAAAAAAAAAATATCAGAAGAGAAACTGCTGCACAAAACAAGAAACCCAAGAGACAAATTGAATTGCAGAATGTGCTATTTAAGTGAACATGGCTTAATTAAGGAACATGAATCATTCTTTTGCCCAAAGTTCTTCCTAGGCTGCATAGGGCAAAGTCAAAGCTGGACTTTCTGGTGTACTTCAGCAGAGGCAAACACCCTCTGCTTAAGCCAGACCCAAATGGTTGGAGTCACTGTGTCCCAGCTTCAAGAGCGGGTCATAAAAACTCTGCTAGGATTACAGCTTGTGACCACTCCAAAACTGCTTACTTCTTGGGCTGACCTTCAGTTTTTTAGAGCAATTAGAAGTTTTGGGGGGAAATCCTACCTGTCTCCACACTTATGGACTTCATTGAGGTTAAATATGGGTTTTGAAGGGCCGGCCAGTCATGGCTTGTCTATGGGAAGAAAGAATAAAGCCAGGCAGGACAAGCAGAACCCCAGCAAGCCCCGTGGCTTTGGCACACATCACCCAGACATGCACAATATGCCCTGCCCAGAGTATGAAATATTCCTCTTTTCCTGGCTTGGACACCCCAACTCCTCACTCCCCATGAGCACCTCCAGATGAGGTACTTTTCTTTCTAGATGCTGATTATTTCTGGCTTTTTTTTCTTTCATCGCCACATCCTTCTATTACTGTTCCCACCACTTTGAAACAAAGACATTACATCGAGTCTAACGCAGGAGCAGCTATGTCTATTTTAAGGTCCTGTGGGGGATCGCCACCCTGCTAAGCACAACTGGCAGAGGGAGAACAGGAAGGCAAAAACAATAGGTAAAATGTAGCTTAAAGTGAGATAAAGGCTCAATCTGCAGTGCTCTGCTCTGTGGAGCCACCAACCTTGCAATGAACTCTCAGAGCAAGAAGAAAAAAAAATAATTAAGAAATGGAAGAAATGTTAATAATGCAAGTATTTATGTCTGGCTTCACTAAGTGAACTTTTTAGGGCTTTAAATCCCCTAGATACTCCTAGAAAGTATGACTATTTGTACACGAACACGTTGATGGAACATCACATCAGCTGTGTTACCCACCAAGGTTTATTCTACAGGACCAAGCTGTTTAGTTTTTATTGCTAATGAGCAAGATTTATTCTTCCAACTTAATTGGCCCACCTAAAATTTGCAGACACAAAAAAAATTTCAAAGAGGACACCTCGAGGGAAAGCAATTTGAGATAAAGTAATCTGTCAGCACAGGCAGGGAGTACATCAAGGTATGAACACTGGAATGAGCATCGGGAGGCTGATAAAGACATAATATACTCCATGATAGACTGGTAATGCTGTCAAAAACACTGCTTCTGTGAAGACCCAGGATTTACGCTCTAGCTCAGCAAACAAGAGTGGCCTCCCACACACAACCTGAAGGTGCCCTCTGTTCACGTCTTGAATTAGTTGTTGCGCTGTGGGAAGGATGCGGCGTACTTTTGGTAAGGGAAAGGTGTAAGATGTCGTCATGGAAGGGAAACTGCAGCCCCTCACACCTCCCCTACTACCAGTGGGTCAAACCCCCGAGGGCTGCTCAGTGCCAGGCTCCCAGGGAGCTTGGGGAAAGGAAAGCTCCAACCAACTCCAGGAAGAAGGCATTGCAAGCAAGGGTGCTGCATCATCTCCAACACTGAGGCTGCAGAGCGGGTCCACCCCGCCGTCACTCTCTGCAGGCTTGCAGTAACTCCATCACTGCTACTCTCACTCAGCAGCAATGTCACTTAGATTTAGTCAAGGCATCAGCCCTGGAGGTCAGCGAGAGTGGAGGCAGTGAAATATTGATGGAGAAACGCCCTGTCCTGCCAGGCCCTTGGCAGCGATTGGCTTCCTGCACCTCCACCCTGGCCGAGGACCGTCCCCAGGGGCCAAGGGCTTCACAAAATGAGCCGGCAGCACTGCAAAGCCTGACCAGGGATGCTCTTTCTGCTCCATCACCCCCAGTTCTCCAACCATCAGGGTAACACGCTGCTTTGAGATGGTAAATGAGAAATTATCCAGTGCAAAAAGTACTACAGCAAATATCTCCCCTATCAGCTACGCTTTAAACCTACTTAGCAAGTCTCCTGAAGCATAGGATAAGTCGCAACGTGAGCCCACAGGATACACACAATATGGCCCACATTAACCCATTTTATAGGATTTACACAGGCAATGCATGCAGTTTGCTGTCTGCAGCATACTTACTCCATTTACCAGGTATCTAGATGAATATAAAATCTATTTAGAGCAAGCAAACTCTGCCAAGATTTCCAATAATTTTTTTTAAATGTACATTTTTGCTGTACTCTCAAATGGTTACTACAGATATTTGGCTGGCAGAAGTGAGCAACTCAAAATGCTAGTGGTAATAATAAACTTGAAAAAAAAAAAAATGATGGTTTCAAATTTAAACATTCAGTTCTGCCTTCTCAAAGCTCCTGGATGAGAATGTACGACATTGGAGGCTGCTTAATGCAGGTTTTCTCAGCAATTTTATTAAATTCACATAAGCACTCCCCCAACAAGCCTAAGAATTATTATAGGGTTTGTAGAGTTTATTATCCCTTCAGCAGGTTAATATGATGTTGACTTAGAGTGCAGTGGAGCTAGAATTTTGTTTTCCATCATTATCTTGGTGCAGAATCAAGGACAAACCAAAGCTAAGTCTCCTGGGTGAGGAAAGCCTATGGATGAGAAAGCATCCAGATACCCAGATATACCTAAAAACCCAATTAATCTGTTCATTATGTTCCTACATTCCTGTCCTTCCTTTCTGTTCCTCTCCCTACAAGTCTTGACACCGCATTTGGAGCCAAGACAAGGTTTTATATCAGATATGGCTTTTAGCTCTCGAACTCAAGGTACCGGTAGGAACTTCCTCTCCTACAACCTCTCTATATTGCTCTTCCCAGTAATAACGGAAGAAAATACTGACCTGAAGCTTTGCCACTTTGGACTACATCTTTAGACACCATCAGGCTAATGAGCTTTCCCCATGCAAGGGGAAAGGTTTGATTTTAGTGTTTCAGTAAGAAATATACCATTGGTGTGGAAATATTGTCCTGTCTGGAGTGGCTCCGCGCGGAGCAAGGCTGCTACAGAGCTCCAGGTCTCCTGGCATTTTTCCCATTCCAAAGCACTTTTTTTTTTTAACCTCCCCAAGAGAAGAGCAGTTAACACCATGTCCTAGCCTTTCCTTTCACTCTCACCTTCTCCTTAGACTTTACGTAGCTGTCCTAAATAAGAGTTGCATGAGACAGGTAAAAATTACGTTTGATGTTACCACCTTCACAGCACTAGAAGTTAGTTTTCCATAAATGTTGGCCCTGGGTGCAGCTCTGTTTCAAGCACCTGCTTACAAAGCCCTGAAGAACAGAAGAGAAAGGCTGAACTCTTCTTTGCAATTATGTACCTTGCAGTGAGCAAACCCCAAACGCACAGAGCCCAGCCATGCCCTGCCAGCGTGGCTCGAGGGGACGATTTCAAACCATGGATTTTGCATAGGGAGGATGGAGGAGGAGGAAAATAGCCTTCCCTGTTCACTCAGAGAAGTGAGAAGGTAAGCAAGGATACAAGGAGGAGTGAATCAACCTTAAAAAAAACAAACCAACAAAAATCAAAACCCAAACAAACCACAGAAGGAAAAAAGGTCAAAGCAGAAGGGGATTGGGAAGGGATTCCTGTGGCTGCAATAGTTTTGCTAGTTAGGGCTGCACTGGAAATTGCATCGTTGACAAAACAGTTGGAAAACTGTGCCAGTTTTTGGATCTACATTTGGAAACACACCCTTGGCACAAACCAAATTCTCTATATCTTCTATCCAAACTCCTTGCTCAATCCCATGAGGGTGAAGAAGTGCAAATCAGATTTGGCCACTTAAGAGAGGGTGCAAGAGGAGCCCTAAGCAGGAGAGCTGGATTTGAAATGATCTTTCTGACCCTGTCAAAGAAGGGAAGAGGCAGGTAAGGGTCAAAATTAGTTTTCAGCAAAAGACAGAGCAGATGAAACAGAAAGCTTCATCTGACCTGAAATGAATGGCACTGCTTTTTTCAAGGGCATTTAAAATAAAGCCAAAAAGCAATGCACTTAGTCACCATTGGCAAAGCCAGAAAGGAGGCAGGGCTGCCAGTGCCCCTTGGAGTGCACAGTCCTGCCATGGGGATGCTCACCCATACCAAATGCTGACCCTTATTTTAGGTGCCAAGTAGGAGATGAGGTCTTCAACGGGCTCTCCCTGGCGTAAACCAGAGGGAGCACCTCTGCCTGCAGGTCTTACATGAGCTGGAGTTCACATTCCTGCTGTCATCACAGGTTTTTGACAGAGATGTGAAGGCAGGAAGAGATGAGTAAGGACAGTCTGTAAGTCAGCACTGAACTACTCCCAGACAGAGCAATACCTGTCTAGACATTTCCCATGCCTTGGGAGCCATCCACCTCAGCTCTATATTGCATGTGGACTCATTCACACTCAGCAAATATGATCTGATATAGGCTTACCCACGCACACTATATTCTCCTTTTCATAAGTCTTGTGACATCTGAGGATTTGCTCTCGACTGGGAATGCCACCACCACCACATGTGGATTTGAGCAGCACCATGACAGATTCAGCTTCCTTTTAATAAAGGGGGTTTGTCCTCATGGGTGCAGAAGGAAGGTCGGGGCATCTTCGAGCAGCCCAGAAGGCAGAGAGAAAATGTAGCATTACCACAATCCCACATCATAAGCTGCGGATAGACACTAGTTATCTACAGCAGATTACACATGCTGCCAACCCTAAGTTTTTGGCTCTTGCGGACAGAGCAGCTGTGTGCAATCCAGACCCACGGAACAAACACCCAGAGGCAGACACCTGAGGGTGAGCACAGGATGGGTGCAGACCCTTTGCTCAACCCCAACCCCTTATGCTGATTTGACTGACATTGTAAGAGCTGACCATTAAATGCAAAGTGATGTTCTCCAGGTTCCTGGAGTGACACATCACCTCCACTTGATCTATGACCACCACTGAAGAGCATCTGTCACTCCCTAGTTTTATTTGCTGCCTACTTTAGGCAATGCTTAGGACTTAAATATCTTCTTCATTAGTTTGTTAGCAGGGTTTAGTTAATATGCAATTTTAGCTATTTTTTACACTTGGAAATCTATGATTTTGAGCTGAACTAGTAAACATTATTCAACGTTTTTTAATCCTTTACCTAAAAAGACACAGGCAAAATAAAAGAAAAACACTGAAACTAGCCCAAAGTTAAGATTCATCCCCCAAGTGGTAGTAGCCAGGTTGATGGCAGAAGACATCTAACCCCCTTGTATTTTGTTCTTCCTCAGCCTTCAGTTTTGCCCCACAACACCACAGTTTTGTTTCTTTGGTGGTGTCCTGGTTTCAGCTGGGATAGAGTTAACTGTCTTCCTAGTAGCTGGTACGGTGCTATGTTTTGAGTTCAGTATGTGAAGAATGTTGATAACACTGATGTTTTCAGTTGTTGCTCAGTAGTGTTTAGACTATAGTCAAGGATTTTTCAGCTTCTCATGCCCAGCCAGGGCACCTGACCCAAACTGGCCAACAGTGTATTCCATACCATGGGACATCCCATCTAGTTTAGGAACTGGGAAGGGGGCGGGCAGGGAATCGCCGCTCGGGGACTGGCTGGGTGTGGGTCGGCGGGTGGTGAGCAATTGCCCTGCGCATCATTTGTACATTTCAATCCTTTTATTACTACTGTTGTCATTTTATTAGTGTTATCATTATTAGTTTCTTCTTTTCTGTTCTATTAAACTGTTCTTATCTCAACCCAGGAGTTTTACTTCTTTTCCCGATTTTCTCCCCCATCCCGCTGGATGGGGGGGAGTGAGTGAGCGGCTGCGTGGTGCTTAGTTGCTGGCTGGGGTTAAACCACAACAGGTGGAAAGGGCGTAGGGAACTTTGTACTGACCCACCAGCCACCCTCACACTCTGGAGGAGTCAGAACAAGCGCTTCGGGGATGGTTGAGTCAGAGGAAAGCCAGAACAGAAGAGGAAGAAAAACTGACTAAGGTACCATTAGGGTCAGAGTCATCTTGTCTAATTCATAGCCAAAACCAAGCTTAACCCTCTTTCCCCAGCCCCCAATGAACTGCCTACATAGCACACCAGCTTGTGCAAACAGGTTAGTTAAATGTAAAATCTTACAGGCCTTTTACTTCATCCCCACCCACGGAGAAGCCGCACTGCTGCGTGGCTGGGACTCGCTGCTTCCCCAGCACATCCAAGTAATGCAATAACATGAATGAGTTAATTGGAAGGCACGTTCTCATCCCTGAGAATTCAGTGGGATCCTTGTTACTTACCTGCTAATGTGTGAAAATTAACCTAAATGTGTGTTCCCATATTTAAACTCTTTCTATGAAAGGGGGGGAGGGGGGGGGGTCTCACAGTGCACTTGAAAAGCCTGTTACAGCAAAGCTACAGCTTCAATTGATGTTTCTATTGTAACTGGAGAAAAAGGAGAGAAGCAAATTCTAAGGAAGGAGGGGGGAAAAAACCCTGACCCCTCAAACCTTACATTTCCAGCATCCATTTCTACTTTTAGCAGGTGAGAAAGGGCTTCCATTCCCATTATGAAAGGGAAAAAGGATCAGGAGCTGCACACCCAGCTCTATTGTATTTCTGAAAGTTCATGGCTCATTTTCTCAGCTCAAACCTCAAAGTGAAAAAAAAAGTCCATTTAAAGATGGTAAAGTTGAACAGATAAGATACCATTTTGGTGGAAAAACAGTCCTAACTCAAGAACTTTTTGTACAAACTTAACGTTGCTTCCCCATTGCATTTATGCTCTGAAGCCCAGATTCCAGATTGTTGTAAAATTTGGTAATTTCAGGGCAGGTAAAAAAAAACCCCAAACAAAACCAAAGCCCAACCAAACCCAGAAGCAGACAAGTTAACTTAAAAGACATTGCATTTTTCCTTTCAGTTTGCCCATGAAGCAACATTTCACACAGCCCGGAGCTGCCCACCTGCTGGCCCATTTCACCAGGCAGGACCATCCATCAAACGCTCTGAGCTGCTTTGGGCACCTCAATAGACACAACTGCACCAGTTCATTCAGGGAACCGAAATGTCTATCAGCCCAGGGTCCTCAGAGTTTTAATGAGTTTTGGATTTGCCAGCCCATGCTGATGCCTACCAGGGACATAGTAGAAGATTCACCAAATTATTTAGAAAATGCAAGAGCTTGCCTGGAAGAGCTACTACTGCCTAAGTCCGAGGAGGCTGGAGGAGAGCGTGAGTTATCCTTTACTACAGCCAATGCCTCAGTAGTTTATTTTTGCATTCACTACATTTTTTTTTAAAGCTAGGAGATAGCAAAGCTGAGTATCTATGTGTTTAATCACTAGATGCTGCAGAAAGACTGTGTAATTACACCGTTTGCATTCCAGTTGATTCCACCCTGTTCTCCCCGTTCGTTTAAGTGCAAACAGCCTCGTTAGCTCCCTAATCAAGAAGTCTATAAATACCTCAGCCCAGGCACTAAGCAGGCCCCTGCCTGCCCCCCCAAACCTGGGTAAGGGAGTCCCGGGTCGCACACACTCGCAGGCATCCAGGACCACGCTGCCCAGCCTCTCACAGCTGCAGCCCTTCAGGGACTGGGGTCCAGGACCTGGGGCAGATGCAGGACCTGATCTGCAACCCTATGCCCAGCTAACCTGCCGCAACCCATGGTGCAAGACTGGGAGGTTTGCAGGACCCTGCAGTCCTGCATCCCCATCCAGTCAAGCTAATACCAGGATTAAGGACCTACAGTGCCTCCCCATCCGAGCTGGTTCAGGGGGTGCAGGACCTGGGAAAGGGGCTGCAGGACCTGGCGTGTACCCCAATGCGCAGCTGGTACAGAGGGTGCAGGAAACAAGGTGTACCCCCACGCCCAGCCCGTCCAGAGGGTGCAGGATCCTGGCAAGGAGATAAAGGATACAGGCTACATCCCCATGCCCAGCCAGTCAAAACCCAATGCGGGACCCGGGCTGCACCCTCATGCCCAGCCACCTTGGGCACGGAGGGCTCAGGAAAGGGGGTACAGGATCCAGACTGCACCCCCGCATGCAGCCGGTCCAGGAGATGCAGAACCAAGGTGCAAGTTATTCCCAACTGTCCCAGGGTGCGCAGGGCAAGGGGATGCAGGACCCGGGCTGCACCCCTAGTGCCCAGCCAGTTTAGGAGGTGCAAGGTCCAGACAAGTGGGCGCAGGACGCGGGCTGCAAGCCCATGCCCAGCCAGCCCAGGGGCACAGGATCTGGAAAGGGGTTGCCCCTTTCGCCCAGCCAGTCCGGGAGCTGCGGGACCTGGGCTGCGCCCCATCCCATCCCATCCCCAAGCGGCCTGGGATGCAGGATCCGAGGAGTAACCCTGCTGCTGCCGAGGCGGTCGGGGGGCGCAGGATCCGGCAAGGAGGGTGCGGGAACCGCGGTGCGCTCCCGTGCCGGGCAGCCTGCGCTTGCGGGAGCCGGGCAGGGGGACGCAGGAGCCGGCGTGCAGCCTCTTGCCCAGCCGGGCCGGGAGACGCAGAACCCGGGAAACAACGCCCATCCCGAGCCGCTCGGGTGGGCGCGGGACCCGGGCCGAGGGGGTCCGGCGCCCGGGCTGCACCGCCGCGCCCGCCCGCGGGGGTCGCCGGCCCCGAGGACTAACCCCGATCCCGAGCCGGTGCGGGATGCGGGCCGGGAGGGGTGAGGGGGGCGGGAGCCGGCCGCGGGGTACACTCACATCGAGGATGACGGAGGTGCCCTTCCTCTGCGCGGCGGCGGCTCCCGGGCTGAGCAGCTCCCGCTCGGCCACCCCCTTGTCGCTCATCCTGGCCACCACCCAGCGCAGCAGCCCGTCCAGCCCGCGGAGCGCCGGCGGAGGCTTGCGCAGCAGCCTCTGCACGCCGGCCCGGCAGTAACGCGCTGCCTGCTCGCACATCGCTCAGCCCGGCCTCATGCCGGAGCCGGGGACATCCCCCTCCTCCTCCTCCTCCTCCCCCTCCTCCTCCTCCTCCCACCGCCACACGGCGGACGGCGGGCCGGGGGGGGTCCTGCCCGAAAAGTAAGGGGGGGGAAGGGGGGTATGTCACCCTGGAGCAGCTCCGGTGGGTGCTGCCTGCGTGTGTCCCCCCCCGCTCCAACATAAAGCATCCTTTTAGGCATTCTCTATCTAAAAAGAGTATTCCTATGGCATGCCCTCTGCCCTCTGCAGCCTCCCTACCCCCACAACAGATTTTCGCAGCTCTTTGTACGGAGAGCAGAGAACAATTTTCTTGCTGGGAAATAAAACTTGCTCCTGACCCTCTAGCCCTACTCCAAAAAGTCCCTGTACAATGAATAGCCAGCGATTCCAGCTGGGGTATGGCAGCATTCGTGGCTACAGAGCTCATCATCGCGGTGCTCAGCCGGACAAATATTTCTAATCCTGTCATTCTCTATTGTGAGGATATTCCTTGGTGATACTCCTGTGCTCACCTACACAGGTCAAGATCTAGACTTGCAGTAGGGGCAGTAAGTCCTCTGGCCAAATTGACACTAAATCATTTCATCTGCTGCTCCACACTTGAGCAGATGCTCCCTCCCAGTTTGAGTTCAGACCCAGAAAGGCACCAAAGCCAGAGAGCTCCGACCCAGACCCTCTCGGAGGGTTCCCCAGAGCGCTGGAGCTGCCACAGGCTCCGAATGGCCTTTCCCCCCTGCCCACCCACGGCAGCCAGACCCTCTCACAGGCAGCTCTAGGGGGCCTCATGCCCTGTAAGGGCCACATCCCCAGATTTGAACATCTCTGACGCAGAAGCCAGCAAGCCTGGCACCCCCATGCAAGCATTACACACTTCCCACGCTGAGCCCTGTGCCTGATCTCCAAACAACGAACAGCTTGATCACTCCCAAAGGCCTGACCAGCTACTGCTTTAAGAGAAAAAAAAAAACAGAAATAAATGATTTCTTGAAACAGAGCTTATATATTGCAGTGCACCAGAGCCCAGACCCCCCAGCAAAGCCTACCTGGAGGTATTATTTAGCCTCTTCTTCTAACCACCCATCTTTATTTGGGTAAATTAGGGTGAAACTTCTGTGTTTGAAGTGATAGGTGGGGGAATGCACATTTTCCTCTCAGCTGCCACTCAAAGAAAAGCGAGTGGGAGCCCCATTCTCTCTGCTGGAGTACACGGATAATGGCTGGAGGCTTTTGAAAGACTTTTAAATAGATGGGGCACAGAGAAGTGTGGCAGTAGGCCAGAACACCCATGGGCTGAGCCCCTCTTTCACCAAACTCTCGCCCTTCAAGGTTTCCTTCTTCTTCAGCAATACAAAATTAATGGGGGAAAATGGAAGAAGTTCAGGGGGTTTATGTTGGCTTGTGGGAGCTACATGGAACACTTTAATGGCTCTGTGTTCATTTACAGGAATGCTCAGAGCAGGCTGGTGTGCAACCCAACCATTGCTCAATCCCCACTTACATCTCACAGCAAAGATAATCTAAGGCAAGACACATTTTACCATCCTTGCCACCAGCTTAGGTGGGCTGGATCCCTACGCACCGACTGCTGGTGCTGATCGGCCCTTACCCCTTATGGCCTGAATTATTGCTCTCTTTTGTACAATCCTCAGATTATTTATATGCTTCTTTCTCCTTTAGACATGGCTAAATGGCTGGTTCAGGTTGTTTTTATCACACCCAGTTTAGGATTACTATATGCTCGTTATTTAAAACTATTTCCTGAGTAAGTTTATAAATAAGGTTCTTTGAATTATCTTTTCTGTGTGCCATGAAGATCCATTACTTGGCTTGGAAGTTTGGGGCTATTTCTGTGCTTTTGTAAAAAATCAGTTCTTGTTAATGTCAAAACTGGCTCTATGGAATTTAAATACTCATTTTTCCTCCCAAATGGATCTAGATAGAAAGAGTTTCAGCAACTCAGATATTAGAAAGAAGCCAGCCATTCGCACTGGGAAGTTAACGAGCCAAATTGCTATGGGCTCGGTTATTCCCAGGTTTCCATGAGGTTGAAGTCTCCCATTGAGGAATAAATGGAAAAGACAACTTCGTACTTATCTGAGCCAGCTGAGAGCACAGGAATTCCAAAGGTGTGTGCTCAGACTGGTCCCATCCCACTTGTCACACCACAGCCAAGGGGCAGGGCAAAGGCACAGACCTCAGGGTGGAGTCGGTGTGCCAAAACTCATCCCCTGCTTCTTGCCAAGGGAGATGGGACACTGTCCTGTGCAAATAAACACAACTGCAGCCAAGGCATCAGAGCTTTGCCAGCCTCTCCCGCCACCCTGTGCTACCAGTCACGGCACTGCCAGGGTGCCCAGCAAACAGCCATCAACCAGGGCCAGAAGAAGAAAGCAAACAAATGATGGACAGGTGGAGACAATAAGGTTTTGCCTGCTGTAGGACACCTGCCTGCCTCTCTAGCTGCTGCCCCCTGGCATCCAGCACACTTTTTGCTCTTTCCTTAAGGTTGAAGAAAGCAGGTCCACCAGCAGCCACTGGTTGCCTTGAAAGTTTTATGCGTATGCGTAACGCAGATGCTGAGTGTCATAGCAATAAATAGGAGACAATAGAGAGGAGACAACAAAAAAGCACAGTTAAATCCAGGCAAAGTGCATCCCAGTGAAAGCAGAAAGCATTAATTACAGGTCTTGATAGACTCAGAGTGCTCAGGCCATGCAGTGCCCAACAGCAGCAGAGCCCAGCATGCAGCACAGCCTGCTGTCTCCACCGCTGACCCGGTGGCATTTTGCTTTCGGCACTGCTCGGCGGGCAGAGAGCTTAAACCCTGTCCGACGGCAGTAAGGGCGAGCTGCAGGGGGAAAGGCAGCAGCTGCAGCTCCACCTTCTCTTCCTTGATGTTTAACAGTGACCTTCCTCACTGCTGCGCTTGCCAGGCACACGCGTGGTCCCAGACCACTACAGTCTTATAAATGAAGGATACAGTAAGGACAGGGAGGTTGTTGAAGGCTGAGAGAGATCAGACATATTCTCCCACACCCCAGCTCCAAGTTCAGAAACTCCGAGATCTGAAGAAAAGGCTATTGCTATTCCGGTTTCAAGCCTGATCTTGGCCCAACAGTTTTTCCTCCCTGGTGTACGTGGTGCTCAGCCCAGAGCATTGGTTTACCCCATCACCGGTGATGTTTGCTCTACCAGCTTTCATAGGGGCTTTATTCAGGTGCTACACCCACTATTTTCCAGCAGCTTCTGGAAAGGCTATTGGAGCAGGAGCTCAAACCATGTGCTGTAATTTCAGATGAGAGGCCACCTGAAGAACCCAAGGGCTTCTCTGAAAGAAAGGTCCGAGGCAGAGCTGAAGTCCTGCCTGCACCTCAGCGTGGCAGGCACAGACAGCAGCTTTCATCGCTCCTTTGAATTCTGCCTTCTCCCCCCTGCCCCTCTGTGCACAGCAGGGACCTTTATTTAATTAAAAACTTCCAACAGGCAGGACCTGCAGCCTCACTTAGTGCAAAATGTCACATATGACTTACTAATATTTACTAATGACTGAGGGATTGAGGTTAATCCAACAGTTCGATGGCTGGAAGGGGAAATGGCAACCCTGTTACAGAGATGGGAATTAGGCAGAGCAACCTTGCCTGCCCAGCCTGGAGGCTGAAATGCCACTTTAGTCCCTGCACTAATTTAGGTTTATTATAATACAACGTGTAATCACTGGGTGATTTTATAACAAATTTATACCCCAGCTTGAAAACCTCACACTGCCAACAGCACCAAGGTAACGCACCTGTCTGGACTGAAGAAGACACAGGGAGACCACATACACATGCAATCTATGTTAACTCCCAAAACTACAACAAAGCGCCTCCCCTCTGCAAGTTGAGGGATGCAGCGCTGACCGTTTGGGTAACACAGCTCACCCACACCGCCAATAAAGCATCGAGTCCACCGCCGTCACTGGGATCAGGGTTTCTGATCCAGGCCCTACAATCAGGGCAGGAACCAAAGCGAGTATGAAGCTTCAGATGCATCATTTTACGTCACATTGATCTTAGAGTGCTACACTGGGTCTTGCTTTAAGATAAAATGTAGACTTTGACTTTAAATACCTCCAGAGCCTCTTCCAACTGCAGTTACACTAATGAGCAAAAAACCCCTCTTTTAAAGCACTCCTGTGTGAAAGCAGACAACCAAAAGGGTTTTTCTGAGGAATTACTCAGCCCACCCAGTGCAACTGGCTGCTACAAATGGAGACCAGGCACAATGTGAGAGTTCAGGTTATTCCTGGTTTTAATCCTAAAGCCAACCCCTAGATATCTGGGAAACCTTGTAAAGGGGAATTACCTGGACTAACCTCACTGTCAAATAGAACTCCTGCAGCATTAGGAGATCATAGTCCTCAGATGCCCAGACTTCCCTAGAGCTCTGAGACGGTTCTCCCGAGCAGTATGAGCAATTACCACTATTAGAAGAAGAAGAGGAAAAAAAAACCCCAACCAAAACCAAAAAGACCCCAAATAAATAAAAAATCAAAGCTCCAAATCATAAGAGACACCTTGCAAGACATACACAGGCTCATCCCTGAGAGGGCCTAGGAGCTGTGCAGCTTCTCCCAAGCTCTGGGCATTCCGTGAAATTCAAGACACCTGGGCTGGGGGCTCCACGCCAGCTCCAGGCATGGCCTTTCCTCCCCAGGCAAGCTGCCAACATTTAGTGGAAATCTTAAAAACCAAAGAACATTGCATTTTTGTTATTCTGAGGTGCAGGGATGCAGGCAAACAGCAGGTAAAATCCTTCTGCTGATGGCTGCTAAATATATTCAGAGGTTGGTTTTGGTTTGGTGGGTTTTAGCCTGTTTGTTTGGTTATTGAGGGGGTGTTACCCAGCTCTGTTGTTTTGGCAATTGAGAAAATGAGCATTTAACACCAAAACCCACCCCCCCGCCCTTGCTTAAAGTTACAGGTCACTGACTTGAT